ATAATTAAAAAAAAACTTATAAATAAAAAAATAAAAAATATTTTAAAATTATAAAAATTAGCTAAAATAAAAAAATAAAATATTAAATATAAAAATATATTAATATATTTAAAATAATAATAATATTTTTATTTAATTTTAAAAAAAAAAATAATTATAGTTTTTTTTATAAAAATTATATTAGTTTTAAAAAAGTTTATAAATATTTAAACCTATTTATTATATATATTTATTAGTTAATACTACTTATAAATATATAAAACCCCAGTTGCTTTTCCTAGGGAGACTTAGCTAGTCAATATAACCACCTAAACCACTGGATCTCTAGTCTCCTTACTAAGTGAGCCTATAGACCCTGGTTCTTAGGTTGCCAGCTAAAGGCACAGCCGTAGAAATTGTCGCCAGCTAAGCGCCGACCTCCATCTAACGCAATATTATAGAATGCAGCGCCAATGCGAGCAGCTTTCGAGGTTGTTCTTCGTGCAGCTACTCTACAATCTAATTGGATGGGTGAACAAAGCATAAAGACACAGCTAACGGAACTACGCCTCGTCACATCGTGTTAGGCAACTAGGTCATAGGGGGAACGCTGGACCACTTGGGTTGTCTGTATTATAGGACTACTATTACATAAGGAGAAGAGGCCTCCATCATACTTGAGGAGAAGGCTGAGGAATGTTGTGACCTATCTTCACTCTGGTGCTTCCCCCACTGACAGTGGGTTATTCGGCGTTCTAATTGGAGGGAACCAGAAGCATTATAGCATAGCCCGTATTGCCACGTCAGATCGAAGTAATTGGCCAGGTAGAAACCTCTCCCTTAACAAGTATCACTGGCGAGGCATTTAGGATATATCCTCCTACTTCTAGAGGCCACACGCATCTAACATTCCACTCCGGCTCTAGACACGTTGTTCATTTATTAGAGGCAAATCTAATTAACCATTGTTTTTACAAGATGCCAGCGCACGACAGAGTTCTTTACTACGATCCCTCGACACAGGAAACCTTTGACAGCAAAACTATCACAGGTCTGTTTGGCTTTTGAACCTGAGCACCCCCAACTCGCACATCGCGATTACTAATAAGTGTGCTCCTAGACTCCTCCAAGTTTCAATCTAGAGAGTTCCAGTCTCTAGACATACCTCGCCTATGTAATACCATCACGGTCTATGTCGACTGGAAAGAGACGGCAAACGCGAGATATGATACCGCAAAGGAGTCCCCCGGACTACCGATGGCATTGGGGCCGCGCAAGTTCGCCCTGTCTAGAAGCCGCCGCATGGTCAATGACACCGATCTAGTCGCAAAGATATCTTTGAAAAAGCACAAGAATAACTCTTGGCTTCAGCGCCACTTGCCACTGCAACCGTCCCTATTCAGCAGGATAGTGATTGGGCCAATTAGCAATAGTATTACAGCAATGAAAGATGAGAGTGCGTCGGCCGAGGACAAACCCAGAATCGTTTAGAGACAGAAGAATCAACTCGCGAGAGGGCGACACGACGCTTTTGGGCGATCTGGGGGGCTGTAGAAGATATAATCACGCCGATGAGGGATAAGAATAGGGAGGTCGAAGACCAGAGCACAACAAGCCATGTAACCTCAGTCGAATGTTGTTAATAGCCTCGAGGCTTCGCAAAAGAGCCTGCATCACGACAGATAAGGAATGGGGGATTACTGTCCCGAATACTTTTCAAAATACCATGGTTGTCAGTTGTTTCTACAGATAATGCCTTTCTTTGCATCTTTATTATCTACGTAAAACTAGCAATCTTATTTCATTTATATAGACGTTTAAACCCCACGATCGTAACTAGATCGCAATAAATTAATTCCAAAACGCAACCCTTCTACTGCCATATCGTGGTATTCTAGCTTGCGAAGGACAAAGAAGAACAATGGTAGAATGGGCGATTATAACGTGTGGTTGATAGAACGTATAGGCTGTCGGATATGATGGGGGCGATAGAATGGAAGGCACAATAGGTAGCATTCAAGGTAAAGTCTAGAGTCAAGTGTTAAATCGCCAAAACTTACAACAAGGCTACTGGACCTAGTTAGGACCCAACAAAAGTGCGAGGCCTTAATGTAAAATCAACTGTAGTAGAGCCGAGAAATAACTCGTCAATACTATCCGCGAAAGCCTTAACCGTCTACAGTTACTTAAAAGAAGCCACCGAGAAAAAGACAGCGGGGACAAAAACATACAACACCAGGGATTCGCTGGTCGTCACCGACCCAACTACTAATCTGGCACTCACTAGCTTATCTATGGGAGAGCGGACGGGATCCCGAGTTCTCTAGAGGTTATGGTCGTATGTGGAAGATCCATCATTGATCAGGCATTATCTTTGGGGTTCTGAAGACTAATAGCGTTGTCAGGCAATCTAGGACACACACCAAAAACACGACCACACAAGATATTTGGCTTCACCGCGGTTCTACAATGCCCCCATCAAATGATTAAGCACCTTTATGAAGTCTTAGGAGGTCAACAAGAAGCCACAGTAAGGTAGCCAGAAACAAAATAGTAAAGAAGCGAGAAGGCATTTATCACTAAACTGCGAGATCCCACCAGGCCAGACGGCAAGGAAATATTCGAATCTCTAATCCCTAGCGCCGGCGTCAATATGCATATTGAAAGAGAAAGGACTATCACAGGGCATATAGACAAAGAAGACTGTTCCTGTATATAGTTAGATGGCGACTAGGAAGGGAGCTTAGAAGACCTTCGCGCAACAACAATAGTCATCACCTACCCCTGGCATAAGGCTCCTGGCACATATTGTGTGCTGGAGGTGCGTAAGTCGCACTATGTCGCTAGTAATAAAGTCAAAGAACTTCTTCGTTGGGTCTGCGATGTTACCATTCGAGAGGCTTCTCTCCGTACGCTTGGCTACCTAAGTGTGTCTTGTCGCCTATTGTCGTGGGCGCCCTCTGTTCACTCAAAGTCTAGCCCTTAGCTTTGCCCCCCCCTTCCGATATAGCTCTACAGAATTAGTTCTGCCCTGACGAGGACCTCGAGACCGGTTTATTCCGCATGTCCTAATTTCTTAAACTTTTTAACGGCACCGATGTTACTCTAGTATTTGACATGCAATGGCGAAACGAACCAGGTTGCCCTATGTTAGTTAGTATAATCCGATCGTTCGTGGACTCGGGAATGTATATAGCTTTCGAAAGTCTTGAGCCGTGTTCCCGTAAAATCTTACTACTGGGGCGAAAGACTTTGAATATTATTGTACAGGATGTAAAACAGCTTTCTACCATCTTCGCCACCTCATTCGTGTATTTGTTTATCAGTACTATCTATAATAGACTCCTGACATGACGGCCTATCCATTCTCTTTGCGATTACACCCTTTCAAGGGTCGAGATTACTCGGATGTATCAATGATAGCGGCTATTGCTACAGCCACTCAGTCAACTCAGTCAACTCTCACTATTCCGTAGTTGTTGGGTGAGCTACAACGAACACACTAACTAGATCCAACAAGTTGTTGATGGTTTAGCGTGCCGTAGCAATTAACCCTTGGATTTCTCAGTCGAGCATAAATTGACTGACCTTGTAATAAATGATCGATTACAAAAAAAGTAAAGGAAGTTAGGAAAAAAAGAAGACTGGTCCCAGTGAGGCTTGAACTCACGACTTTCGCATTTCCAACATTACAATGCAACTATAATATTAGTACGACACTCTAACCAACTGAGTTATGGGACCGTTTGATTCATGGAGGTTTTGTGGAATAATGGGGTCATACCCCTGTCCCTTAGCTGAAGTTCGCCCTAACAGGATGCTCACATAATACAAACTGAATCCAAACCATGAGCTCTAACATTTTCATCATGAGAGTCGTCTATAATTAAACATGTAAGAACTATGCATATTTCAAGCTGCTCTTACTTTGGAGGGCCGCTTATGCGTTCTGCATTTGTGTCTGTATCATATCACCTAATTAAGTCGTATGAAGCATGAATTCTGTGTATGCCTACCTGGATGTCGATGGTGATATCCTCTTGGCTCTCCCTTCTTTATGCCTTCGATCCTTGTCGGGGCTTTTTTTGTTTCAATGGTAGTAGTGACCTATGTGTTCCGAGTTGCGAGGTATTAACTAAACGTCTTCTAGGCCTCGGTCTCAGGGGGGATATTTACTAGTTGCATATCTGTGCGTGGATGGAAGAAGCGCGTAGTATGGATGTAGCCTCGTCAATGGATGCCTATTTTACTTAATTAGTCATTGTATAGGCACCATTCCGGCAGTAGAATGGTTTGCTAACCGGCTGCGTCATATCAAAAGTGTTCAGCGCCGTAATTTTCGACGGAACGTTCATCTGCCGACACTACGATGAAAAAAATGCTAGCAAATAATGTGACGGCTAGTCTCTAGTGGCCGCAAATTTGAGATACCCAGATAGCGTTGCCGTACAGTATATATATAAATAGTGTTGAATGTTTCAATTAATGACCAATCGTAAAATTTCTGCTGTACTGGTGGAGAGAAGCTGTTAACCTTACATAATTAAGAAAACGAGGCTAGGCTTCGGCACCTACTGTGCGGGATATGATGTGTAGCTCGAGATTATTTTTACTCCCTACGGCGCGTATTGCGATTGCGAGGATTATGCTTGATGCGAGAATACGAATCTCTTCTTTTGCCGGCGGCAGCCTTGGAACTTCTGCCCTTCCTTCTAGCGTACTGTGAGGTGTCAAAACCGTTGTCCCAAGTTTCTAACAGCAACGGCTCTTTGTTCTTGTCCCATACCGCTTGTGATCTGCGCAGGGCTTCTCCCTTCGCACTTTGCGGGCCTTAATCTACCGGAGTGCGGGTAACTCCTTGTAGGCATTTGACGGGAATCTGGTTTTCTTGCCGGGCAAAAAGGGAAAAGACGAGTCGGAATGCTATATACGATTACTAACAGTTCCTAGATCTGCTCACTGCACTTACCTACAAACTGACGATAATGGTCCCATACCCTAGGTATTCTGTTGATTGACCGGGGGGACGTTGCTGAAACTTCGCATCAAACGATGCCTGAGCGTATCGCTCCAGTATCGAACGGTGTGTTTCGATGGGCGTCAAAGCAAACTTATCGATAGCCGTGGCATTTACTTGAATATCGTCATTGAGCTAGACACGTTGAGTACCTACCTAGCTAGGTAGTAAAAGTCCTGGCAAGCAAGAGTGAGCATGAGCCTGACGATACGAAACTATACGACGAAAACGAAACACTAGACAGATCCTTTGACACAATGCGCTTAGAATGAATGGTAGCTAGGTATTTAGTCTAGAGACTAGTATGCTCCTAGGTTAGGCCTTGCTGGAGATTTGCTGTATGATAATTTCTTAGAATGTAGGTTAATTAAGGGTTATGTAAGCCTGCTAATTACCAATTAGCAGGCAATCTATGACTCGTCTCTGATCGCCACCAAATTAGGTACTGTGGTCTAGTAGTTTGTGCCGCAGCCACGCATACAGTAATAAACTTCTACACGTGTCTTAGCATGGAACCAGATGATCGCAGGTCCCCAATATTCGGGTGGGTTTATTAAGCACCCCTGGCACTCTTCCGTAGTGAGTTCTTTTTCGTGACGATGTACATAGGTAAGCTGACAGGACAGGTACGCCTCTTGTTTCAGCTCTCAGCTCAGCTCCTAGCTCCCTAGCTCCCTAGCGCGTTGACATGGCAACACGCGCGAAGCGGCACGTGGGAAAACTCCGCTTCTGCACGAATCGGCACAAGGGCAAGATAAGTGGCTGTACTAATAAGTGTTCTTCAGCGGATTCTGGCTAAGATCTACACATAGGTGGCTTGAACTTGTCACACATTAGATCGCGATCGCAAAGTATGTACTGTCATTGTTGCCTACACTAGCTTATACTAGTACACTATGTAGTTAGCTGAAGGATATCTCGGCTGCGAATGTCTCTCTAGTGTACTTTCATAATTTAGGCATCTAGTTGAGGTTCGTATGTACATCTATCACTGCCGGTGTTAACCAAGGCACCGCCCGCCCGAAGCTGCCGCTGTGCAACCGTCCTTTCGTACGTACCTATGTAGGCTGCGGATGTTAATTTGCGTGTTAATCATTTCGGCTTAATACATACTGCGTGGCGGTGTTCCCAACTCTCGGGATAGCTGCTAGCAGGTAGTACAAATGTACTTCTAATATGCCCGAGACAATGGAATCGGCACGTGGACATTGCAACAGGAGCCATGGTACTCATATATTGCGTAGCATCTGCAGATAACTACATGGGTATCTCTCTGACATGCTAATTACAATGCTAATCGGAAGAGGTTCCACCCCCACTCGGAGCCCTCATCAAGTCGTGATTGTTGCCATGCATCCTCTCATCCGGGCGCGAGCGAGCGAGACTAAGAAGGTGTCTCGGGCTCCATGCTCGTACGTTCGGATAATTGTCTTGTTTGCTAGCGGCTGTGGGCATGCTAGCGATCAGCTGAAAAGGCGTGTTGGGGATAGGCAAAGCCGTTGATGACAGTTCCAGAGGCTCGGGTTTCTCCAGCATACACTATTGACGACCCACAGAAGAATTCTCCGATTGTTAGATGGCTGTAGTGTAGGTAGGTACAGGTATACTATTGACAAGACTACACTACATACTAAGTAGGCAGGTGTACAAAATAGGTTGTGCGATAGGCAGTGGACTTTTGTTGCTGTCTTTCTTTTTCCCCTAAGGCGCGAGAGAGACGTAGAGACAGAGATGGTTTTTGATTTTAGCCCTGAATCCTTCGTCTTTAGTTTACATAGTGTGCCTATCTGAATATAAGCTATAATATTACGGTAATGACTAGGAAGCGTTAGGATTTTAGAGCGGTCATCTGATATCTCGACTAGTTACTCAAAAATATCTTGTGTCTTGTTTCTGTGTCTTGATATTTTGGGGGCGCCACTAGTCTACGCGTGTAAGTGTAGAGGAGTTTTAGAATAGAAAGTGAGCATTCTAAATACATACTATATAACTATGGTATGTTGATAGCTCAGCTCTTTCTGTCAAGCGGACTTTAATTGAACCTACGCGAGTTGATATCTACTACCTAGTGTGAGTATATCTGCTATTTTCAAGCTTCAAGCCGTAGCAATCGTCATAGACTCAAGTGAGTCTGGGCAAATATCTCCGCATTATGGCAGATATCCCGGAATAGGCAGGGCAGAACCCAGCTGGTTGGTTGGATTATTTATCTTGTCCGGGGTTAGGGTTGGCTTGCGAGCTAACGTTTGTGGCTTGCCAACCTACCCAGCCCAGAACATGCTGTGGCATACATACCTAGCTAGAGGCGTGACGTGGCTGCTGACCGGGAATTACTCCGCATTTGCACATGTATATTGTCGTGATGTCACCACTAAATGCCGATCGTTGTAGGTACGTTTGTGAAGAGTGACAGTAACATTTCAATGAATAATGAAGAAGTACTACCATCTGCTTTTTTTTTTTTTTCATCATTTCACTATTATTTTGATTTCTCAGTTCATATATTGCGATGACTTCGCGGGGTTATGGAACCCTTTTACGCGATGCAAACTTATTGCTAAAAAGAAACCTCTTACACTAGCTAAGACGAGTGGACCACCTGTTAGTGGTACCTGCATGAACAATTACTTGTCCGGATTAGGGGCGCCACAACCTTGGCTAGACAGGATTGCTCATTGTGCCCCCATTGGCCGGGACTGGAAAGGGCCTTACCATTCTTGTCGCACCATACCTCATAGTACCTACACTATGCCCGCATACCTTCGACATGAAGCTGAGAGAATGTCCGGGCAGGTGACCTGGACGAGAATGACGAACGGGCAGCACAGCATCATGCCGGCGAGTAAGAGCTTCATGTCGCCTGGTGCTTGTGTAGTATTGCATCCGGGCCCTTCTTATCTGACGAACGCCATTCGTGAGCTGTGCAGTCACTTGAGACGATGACGAAAACCATCGGGTTTCCTCAAAATCGAGCGCGCGCCCGCCGAGACCAATGCTTGACTTGCTTGCATCTGTCTCATTTCCATCGTTTGCATCATTTCTAAAACACACATACATACATACATACATACATACCTTAAGTACGTACATACACACAACGAATTCGACTTCCCGCTCTGATTCTCGCTGTGATGTGACTCTGCCAGGATCCGCATCGCAACATCGCACAGCGGGTTCATTTCAAATCCAGGGTTCGGACTGCGACATTCGAGAAGCTCTCAACGTTGCATCCACCGCAAGAGAGAGCGGGTATTGATACACCACCAAGTTACCTGTTATTGCCTGTTTCATAGGCTCTAAAGCTACTCTTATATACAGTCTCACTACTATTCGATACTATTCGAGAGAGCGACAAACTGTGAACGGACAAGTATTTTGTACACTGAAACAAATTGCCGGTACAACACGGACACCGACATTTGCAACTCTAAGCAAGGCTCTTCCTGATCCAGTAGCTCCAAAATCGGGGACCAAAACTACCTACGCATACGCTAATTATTAGCGGGATACTCATCGCGACTACACAGTAGCTAAACCGGCTTGGTTATAGTCGTTGCTGGTGCTGTGTCAGTTTCGTGACAAACTAGGTAAATCTCTCCCTGGATTCGATGCTAGACCAATCCGTCGGATCTAAATCTAATGAGACAAATTTCCTCCAGAGACGAGGAAAAAAGAAGGGAAAAAAAAAGCGAGAGAAGGAAAGCAATATAACATTCTATTATATCGC